GCCGCGATGGCCTATTTTCAAGCTTAAGAAAAGAGATGTGCCTTTTTGGATTTAGTTTTCAAACCGGGAGTCCCGTGCTACTTCTGTAAGTTTCCACAACTTACATTGGTGTCTCCCGAGCTGTTTGAGGTCTTCCTCAGGCCTTCTCGTGACTCTTACACGATTTTGGGCCTCGATAGCCAATTTTCAACCATAAGTATGAGAAAACTGCATTTTTTTACTTAGTTTTTAAACCGGGAGCCCCGTGCTTGTTCCGTACATTTCCACAACTTAAATTGGTCCTTCCCGAGGTGTTTGAGGTGTTCCCCAGGCCTTCTTTGACTGTTACACGATATTGGCCCCCGATGGCCTTTTTTCAAGCTCAAGTGTGAGAAAAATGCCTTTGTCGACCTAGTTTTCAAACTGGGACTCCCATGCTAGTTCTGTAAGTTTCCACAACTTACATTGGTCTATCTCGAGGTGTTTGGGGTGTTTCGTGGGGGTTCTAGTGACAGTTACACAATTTTGTCCCCCGATGGCCTATTTTCAACCTTAATTGTGAAAAAAGTGCATTTTTTGACTTAGTTTACAAGCCGGAAGTCCCGTGCCAATTCTGTAAGTTTTCACAACTTACATTGGTTCTTCTTGAAGTGTTTGAGGTGTTCCGCTGGGGTTCTCGTGACTGTTACACAATTTTGGGCCCCCGATCGCCTATTTTCAAGCTTCAGTGTGAAAAAAGTGCATTTTTTGACTTAGTTTTCAAGCGAGGAGTCCCGTGCTAGTTTCGTAAATTTTCACTACTTGTATTGGTCCCTCCCGAGGTGTTTGATGTATCCCATGAGCCTTCTCGTGACTGTTGCCCGATTTTGGCCCCGATGGCCTATTGTCAGGCTTAAGTGTGAATAAAGTGCATTTTTAGACTTTGTTTTCAAACTGATAGTCCCGTGCTAGTTTCGTAGGTTTCCAAAGCTTACATTGCTCCCTCTCGAGGTCCGGGCCTTCTCATGACTTTTACCCAATTTTGGACCCCGATGGCATATTTTCAACCTTAAATGTGAAAAAAGGGCATTTTTTGACTTTAGTTTTCAAATCGGTAGTCCTGTACCAATTCCGTAAGTTTCCACAACTTACATTGGTCCATCCCGAGGTGTTCGAGGTGTTCCCCGGGCCTTTTCGTGACTGTTACACGATTTTGGCCCACGAAGGCCTATTTTCACGCTTAAGTGTGAAAAAAGTGTATTTTTCGACTTAGTCTTCAAACCGGGAGTCTCGTACTAGTTCTGTAAGTTTCCACAACTAACATTAGGTCCCTCTTAAGATGTTTGAGGTGTTCCGCAGGCCTTCTCGTGACTGTTACACCCATTTTGGCCGCCGATGGCCTATTTTAAAGATTAAGTGTGAAAAAAGTGTATTTTTTCACTTAATTTTCAAATCGGGAATCCCATGCCTGTTCTGTAAGTTTCTACAACTTACATTGGTCCCTCCCGAGGTGTTCAAGGTGTTTGAGGTGTTCCCCGGGCCTTTTCGTGACTGTTAATCGATTTTCGCCCGCTGACGGCCTATTTTCAAGTTTAAGTGTGAAAAGTGTCTTTTTCAGTTTTCAAACAGGGAGTCCCGTGTTAGTTCTGTAAGTTTCCACAACTTACATTGGTCCGTCTCGAGGTGTTTGAGATGTTCCCTGAACCTTCTCGTGACTGTTACACAATTTTGCCCCCGACGGCCTATTTTTAACCTCAAGTGTGAAAAAAGTGCATTTTTTTACCTAGTTTTCAAACCGGGAGTCCCGTGCTAGTTCCGTAAGTTTCCAAAACTTACATTGGTCCCTCCTGAGGTGTTTGAGGTGTTCCCCGAGCCTTCTCGTGACTGTTACTCAATTTTGGCCACCAATGGCCTATTTTCAAGCTTAAGTGTGAAAAAAGTACATTTTTTGACTTAGATTTCAAACCTGGAGTCCCGTGCTAGCTCCGTAAGTTTCCACAACTTACAATGGTCCCTCTCGAGGTGTTTGAGGTTCCCCGGGCCTTCTCAAGACAGTTACACGATTTTGGCCCCTAATGGCCTATTTTCAAGCTTAAGTGCGAAAAAGGGGCCTTTTTCGACTTAGTTTTCAATCCGGAAGTCCCGTGCTAGTTCCTTAAATTTTCCAACTTGCATTGGTCCCTCTTGAGGTATTTGATGTGTTTCCGAGGCCTTCAGATTTTCCACGATTTTGGCCCCCGATGGCCTATTTTCAAGCTTAAGTGTGAAAAAAGTGTATTTTTTGACTTAGTTTTCAAACCGAGAGTTCCGTGCCAGTTCCATTAGTTTCTACAACTTACATACCGAGGTGTTTGAGGTTTTGCCTGGGCCTTCTCGTGACAGTTACACGATTTTTGCCCCCGATGACCTATTTTCAACATTAAGTGTTTGAAAAGTGCATTTTATAACTTTGTTTTCAATCCGGGAATCCCGTGCTAGTTCCGTAAGTTTCTATAACTTATACACGAGACCTATTTTCAAGTTCAAGTGTGAAAAAAGTGACTTTTTTGACTTAGTTTTCAAATCGAAAGTCCCGTGCTAGTTCCGTAAGTTTTCACAACTTACATTGGTCCCTCCCGAGATGTTTGATGTGTTCCTTGGGCCTTCTCGTGACTGTTAGACTATTTTGGCCCCTAATGGCCTATTTTCAAGCTTAAATGCGAGAAATTTGCCTTTTTGGACTTAATTTTCAAACCGGGAGTCCCGTACTAGTTCCGTAAGTTTCCACAGCTTACATTGGTCCTTCTGGAGGTGTTTAGGTGTTCCCCGTGCCATCGACTATTACACGATTTTGGCCCCTGATGGCCTATTTTCAACCGCAAGTGTGAAAAAAGTGCCTTTTTCGACTTAGATTTCAAACCGGGAATCTCGTGCTAATTCCGTAAGTTTCCACTACTGACATTGGTCCCTCCCGAGGAGTTTGAGGTGTTCCCTAGGCCTTCTCGTGACTGTTATACGATTTTGAACATCGACGGCCTATTTTCAAGCTTAAATGCGAAAAAAGTGAATTTTTTGACTTACTTTTAAACCCGGGAGTCCCGTGCTAGTTCCGTATTTTCAATAACTTACATTGTTCCCTCCCGAGGTGTTTGTGGTGTAGCCCGCCCTTCCCATGACTGTTACACGATTTTGGCAGACCAAGACCTATTTTCATGCTAACGCGTGAAAAAAGTGTCGTTTTCGACTTAGCTTTCAAATCGGAAGTCCCGAGCCAGTTTCATAAGTTTTCACAATTCGTAAGTTTTCACAACTCACATTGGTCCCTCCCGAGGTGTTTAAGGTGTTCCCAAGCATTCTCGTGACTGTTAAACGTTTTTTGCCCCCGATAGCCTATTTTCAAGCTTAAGTATGAAAAAATTGTCTTTTTCGACTTAGTTTTTAAATCGGGAGTCCCGTACTAATTCCATAAGTTTCCACAACTTACATTGGTCCCTCCCGAGGTGTTTGAGGTGTTCACCGGTCCTTCTCATGACTGTTGCATGATTTTGGCCCCCGATGGCCTATTTTCAAACTTAAATGTGAAAAAAGTGAGTTTTTCGGCTTAATTTTCAAACCGAAAGTCCCGTGCTAGTTCCGTAAGTTTTCAAAACTTATGTTGGTCCCTCTCGAGGTGTTGGTGGTGTTCCCCAGGCCTTCTCATGATGCTTACACAATTTTGGCCCCCGATGGCCTATTCTTAAGCATAAATGTGAAACAAATGAATTTTTTGACTTAATTTTCAAACCAGGAGTCCTGTACTAGTTCCGTAAGTTTCCACAGCTTACGTTAATCCCTTCTAAGGTGTTGGAGGTGTTCCCCGATCCTTCTCATGACTGTTACACGATTTTGGCCTCCAATGGCCTATTTTCAAGCTTAATTGATTGAAAAGTGCATTTTTTGACCTAGTTTTCAAACCGAGCTAGTTCCGTAAGTTTCCATAACTTACATTAGTCCCTCCCAAGGTGTTTAAGGTGTTCCCCGGGACTTCTCGTGACTGTTACACGATTTTGGTACCCGATGGACTATTTTAAAGCTTATTTGTGAAAAAAGTGCCGGTTTCGACTTCAGTTCATGAATTCGAAATTAAACACATACCTAAAGTCTTCAAGAACACTAATTGTAGCAATTTCTTAAGTTGTCTTCCTCAATTCTTCAATTCTCAAGCAAAATTCCAAGCTTCCAAGCTCTTTTCTCTAAAATTGAGTTTCCTCTCTCTAAACTTAATTGTTGGCAAATTTGTGTCTAAATGAGATTAATTAACATTTCTCATAGATTAGCTTAGGGCCTTAATTAGGGATCAAGTTAGTTAAATAGAGCTTAAGACTAATTAATCAAGGCTTAATTTAATTGATTTAATTTGAATCAAATTTTAATCAAACTTCTGACGTCATTAAGGCTTTCAATTTCAGATTATAACCGAAATCACAACAGATATTCCTACGGTTAACATATATGAACCTAAAATCCATATTAAACACATAATAAGTATTCAAATTCACACAAAGCACTTAAATAACATTCAAAACCAATGATTAACAGGGTTGTCACAAGATCAATATTGCTTACCAACAACAAAATGTTCACTGGATTTTATAATTCAGAATGGGAAAAGTGGAAAATCAAATTAAAGTCACACACAGCTCCATAAAAGACAACTTTGAGGGCAAAACTTAATTTATATGACACAAAATACAACAATTATTTCGTTGTGGTGACAAAAATACCTATACAAGAATAGTAAATATAAGTTGGATGCTAGAAGCGCACAAGGGCCAAGCTTTCCTTCCACCACACGCCAGGTCAGATAAAAATTTCCACAGCAAAATGTTTACTGGATTTTATAAATCATAATGGGAAAATTGGATTATCAATTTAAATCACACAGCTCCATAAAGACAACTTTGAGGGCAAAAAACTTAATTTTTATGACACAAAATACAACAATTATTTTGCTGTGGTGATAAAATACATATACAAGAATAAGTAAATATAAGTTAGACGCTAGTAGTGCACAAGGGCCAAACCTGCCTTCCCAACACCCCAGGTCAGATAAAAATTTCCACAGTGTGAAATAGCATGGTCTAAGCAATATCATTTGTCAAGCGCTTGTGCCGGTTGTAATGCATCTCCGAGAAGACCTTTGAAGCCCTGTCAACTGTTTTACGCCATGTCTGCATGAAAAGAAAAAATCAGAAAAAAAAAAAAAAAAAAAAAAAAAAAAAAAAAAAAAAAAAAAAAAAAAAAAAAAAAAACTAATAATAATAATCAATAAAATGAAGAAATAAATAGAGACAATTCACAGTTAAACATTAAGTTGACATTGAACTGCTACAGTTCACAATAATTTAATAAATCTCAAGATGTAAATAGAAACTATTCCAATAGTTGATGAAATCATGATTGTGATGGAATGGCGGCAGTGATGGCGTACCACAACCAATCCTGCTATCTAATGTAATGACAGTCACATGCTGGTGCAATCATCATGACAATGATAATGATACAAATCAAAAGAAAACGTGTACTTTCAAAATTTCAATCTCTTTTAACTATAAGTAAAATGAATTTTACCTAACCAAAAAAGTAAAATGAATTTTCTGTCTGATTTCTAATCTCACCCTTCCCAAAACACTTGATGTAGTAGGTATGTGCTTTAGGTCTTATCAATTTTGATACTTTAGGATTAAAGTCTTGTGAGTGTATACAGCCTTCCGTTTGCATGCTGACCAACACCTAGGTTCAGTTTTTCCTAAAGGAAGTCTTTATTATTAACTCCATTCTTACATTGTTCTAATCTAACATGTATCGCCCTTAATACCAGCCATGCTTCGCTGTGGAAAAAATTCATCGCAGCCACTCTATGGGAACATTTACTCTGGTGAAAGTTTCCTGCAGTTGAAATGCAAAATGTCATGCTTTTTGGTAACTATACAGTGCCATTCCTAGGGAACAAAATCTACGTATATCCCATGATCTACGTATATCCCAAATTTTAGTTGACTTGTATAAATCTTTCTTAGCCAGGCTTAAAATATAACCCTAATAAGCCCTCATCTATAAACAGGGTTTTATTTCACATCTTTTGGTCAAAGGACTATTGCAGTAACATTTCAAATAAAAAATTAATTTGACAATGCTAAAGATCTAGTGATTCAAATAAAGTGCTAATGCTTCACACTTAAAATGTTGTTTGGCACTTGAATAAGGTCTAGAGGAGATTTAGCCCTCAAAACGGAAAAGAATTTGCTTAGGATTGATAACATAACATGACAGAGATTATGAATTGTTCATTTTATTCAATTTAACCAGTACGAATTTGCTTTATGCCAATCAATTCTGCAATCAATATAATTATCAATTAGACACACAAAGGGATTCCCTTTTTCTTTTTTTTTATCCTTCTTCCTGTCGAAAATCAAAACGGACAAAAACCACAGGACCCCGTAGCCAACCAATTCACCATTAGTAAGGGAAAAAAAAAATAGAAACAACCCAACCCTATCCCAGTTCATGTGCCTTAGGTGTTGAATCCTAAAACTTGTTAGCGTGTTTCTTATACCACTGGAAATTTGTTTGTTCCTGAATGGTTGGTAGAGTATCAAGCATCCATGATACTCTGTGAATTCGCCACAAATTAAACGCGATCCACCATTGACTAGGAAATCACCAAAACAAACTTGAAATATATTAAAGTAATGTAAAACGCATATTAATCAATTGATAGTGCAAGCGAATATCTTCTCTAATTTGACAAATTTATTTTGGTTACAACTAGTTTAATTCTCCTCCCGTATGAAATTGTTGGTCCATTTTAACTATTCCAAACATCCCAAAAAAATCATCTATGTTTTTTTATTTATTCTTTCTTTCAATTTGTAAGGAAAAAAATACATTATTTATTGACCCTACAAAAAGGCATGAATGCTGAAAATTGACAAACAATTGGGGATGGAACGAGTATTTATAAATGAGATGACTTGAAGACCAATCCCATCCAAAATCCAAGTTAAAACCACCTTAGACTTTGCAAAATCGTTGGCCACTACTCGAGCCATGAAAATCCCTACAGATTGGGTGTCTGCTTCCACTTGGAATCTCAGTTTTTTAATAGATTGAGTGTCTGCTTCCACTTGAGATCTCAGTTTTTTAATAGATGAAAACAAAGTTGATTGAAAACTCACAATTTTCATACAATGGAAGATTTTTTCTTTCAAGCTTGTCCCTTAGCTATCCTTCAAGTCAAAAGTTTTCCTATAAAAAATTGGATATATTGTGGCTAAGATTTTTCTTTATACTTTTGTTTGGATTTGACTTGCTTTCATATGTATTTTTTCTTCTATGATTTTGCTAAGCAATCAAGTCACACAATGAGGGTTCTTTCTATTCTAGTTGCTCCCAATATGTATTATTATTTCTTCTAGGATTTTGCTAAGCAGACACAAAGGAGGAATAAAATGATTGATATTTGCTCCCAATAGGTATTATTTCTTCAATTGTGATTTTGAAGGTTGGAGCTAGTCCTCCTAAGCATTTGTACATCAACTTCTCAGCACACCAAAATCCCATCCAATCAATTTCCATTTCATTCAAATTTTTGTTAGCCCTCCAACACATAGGAGAATATAATGATTGATGTTGGCCCTCTAGTACTACTAAATCAATGACAGCCTAAGTTTTCTAATCTAAGATTAAATAGTCTGAGAATTCAACATGACCAGCCTTAAGACAACCAACTTTATTTTGTTCATGTTGTATCTCAAGGGGGAATAATGGAGAATTTTCCTCTTCCTGGTAGATAAAATTCAGAACGAGACACAAGGGGAAATCTCAGGCAAAAATTACATAAGAGGGAAAAAGGCCAAACTATACATCAACTCATAAGCTAAATTCTTCCAACAAATCAATCAAGAAAAAAAAGAAAGAGATTCCTAATAGTATTTATCGAGAGAGAGAGAGAGAGAGAGATTCCTAATAGTAATCTACGTTACACGGACTCGGGTGCGGGTATCAAGTATCGGGTGCGGGTATCAGGTATCGGGTACGGATGTGTATCTAAGGGTCGGACACTTTAAAATTAAAAATTAAGGATACGTGGATACGGATCCAAATTAGGATACGGGTACAGGAATACGTTAAATAGTTATTTTTAAATATATTTATTATATGAAGATGAGTTTAAAAAGTTTAAGGAATAACAAATTTTATTAAAAAATAACAAATAAAAATTATAAACATTATTTTATTTTAGACATAAAATAAATTATATTATATATGATAAAATAAATTATTTTAATTTTATACATAAAAGTTATGTTATTTATGATATATTATATTATATAATATTATTTATTTAAAATAATATTATATAATATGAATAATATTATATTAATATAATTTATATTGTATATAATTCAAATTATATTAAAAAGAAAAGTCAAAGACCTATAGAAATAAAAATTGTGTTAGCCTCGCAGAGATGACGGAAGGGGAAGACGACGAAGAGAGTCCGAGATCGAGATCAAAGGGGAAGACGACGAAGCACAGTACATCGACTTCGCAGATCGATCAACTTCACAGATCGATCGATGCTCTGCAACCGATTGAAATCGAAGGCCAGGTTCTCTCCTTGCTCTCTTCTCTTTCGATTCTTCTGCCGTATCCGTTTCTAAGGAGCCGTATCCCGCACCCGCACCCGTACCCGTGTCGTGTCGTGTCGACACGGGTACTTTCGAAATTCCAAAGAGTCCGTGTAACATAGGTCGAGGAAAGAAACTTGAGGCAACAGAAGATGGGCAACCCACAAACACTCATCCACAAGAGCCGAAATACATAAAGAGGCTAGGACAACCCTCACAAGGGTCGACTAGGCCAGAGAAGCCTTCGGCTGAAGTCGAAACAGCTCTGTGGGACCTTGTCTAGTTCCGACAGAGACTCAGAGGCAACAAAAGATGGGCAACCCACAAACACTCATCCACAGGAGCCAAAATACATAAAGAGAGGCTAGGACAACCCTCACGAGGGTCGACTAGGCCAAAGGGGCCTTCAGCTGAAGTCGAAACAGCTCTATGGGACCTTGGCTGGTTCCGACAGAGACTCAGGGACCAGTGATACAAGATGGGTGGTGATAGGTGATGGCTGGTTGGTGGTAGTGGCTGTGTGAGTGACAGTTTTTAGGGTTTTGGCTCTAATACCATATAATTTAAGAGAACACAAAGCTTAAGTGATGATTATGATATCATCACCTTTTATATTAATCAATCAACTATTACAAAAGGAAGCCCTAAGGCACTGATTAAGGAATCACCTTTTATATTGATTGATTGACTGATTAAGGAATCACAATCAATCAATCACAATCACAATCACAATCACAATCTAATCTAAATAAGGAAATAAGGAAATATTCTAACAACTTCTGCTACTATAACACCCCCATCTCAAATCATAACAATTGTTCACTTTGAGCTAGGCCCTCAAGGGTTTAAAGCATGTTGTTACTTGGAAGGAATATGAACTCATTTATATAGCCTAGGAACTTTTCCTACCTAGACGATGTAGGATGGAATGTGATGTACAATAATGAAAGTGAATTCACTTATATAACCATATAAAAATTCTTTGACAATGAGGAGTAATGCCCTTAGACTTCTGCACGTACTTAAGTCAATAAAGGTGAACACTTTTGCAAGTGTCCCAACAATTGTTGGGCAAGAATGGACATAAAAGCATAGTCAACAAGTATTCATTATTGTCTAAACATCTATTCAACATCAAAATTGCCAAGTGAAAGAAATGTCCTCAATATCATTACCTTCCATTTGGGCAAGTGTACTAATGAAGTTTTACCAGTAAATACACTAGCTATGTACTAAACGGAGAGGAGGGAAAAATGAATTGAGCACTCACAATACCCATAATTACTGTAAAATCCAATGACAAATTAGCAGACGTTAATCAAGTATTTGAATATTCTACTGAAATCAAACCTTCAAGTAGCAAGACAAGACATTGTCGATTGCCTAAATTTCAGTTTTCCCATCCTTTCTGGATAGTTCCTAGCATCCTAAATTTCTAGATGAAATAAACGAACATTCACCTTAAACATGCTTTCATATTATGCCAGCCAAACCACATGTTGTGAGTATACTTGAAACAATGGCATTTGGATCTTGTATGCACGACGACATGCAAATTGTCTTATTATTGACTATATTGACACTTACGATATTTAACTCGCAAATACAACAATTCTATCATAAACTTTATTAGTCACATTACTCTCTGGATAGTTTCTGATCCAACTGAAGATGAAGCATTTTCCATGTGTCTTTTCAATAAAGTAGGTATATAAGAACAACATACAATCATTTATTTATCTGAGCTGCAAACTCCTGTCTCTGTTATTTGTTCATAGCATGTAATGGACCTCTCTAATAATAACTAAAACAAGCATGCAATGTATAACAAGTATTGCAGGCATGCACAGAGTGATCTTGTATGCTCTGTGTAAACTGAAGTCTGAATGCTTCATTAGCATGTTTTTGAACAGATACTTCATTAGCCTGTTTACTAATGCCAAAATTAAGGACATTTTGCATCATCGATACTAAATGTATGTCTTGGACAAAACAAATATATAAAGGGAAGGAAGTATCAATCATAGCATATGTATCAGTAATATAGTAAGTTAGAGCTTCTCGGAGCAGCAATGAACTCACCTAACATTGTTTGGGGTAAGCTCATTGAGTGCTGATTCAATAATGGTTTGGCTGAATTTAGAGGGCAAGGATGACCCCACTAGCCAATCATTAGGAGGATACAACTGCAAAATAATTTCAAATGAACAGTTGATGTTAGCAAAGCAAGTGACTGCTGAAGAAACAACATACAATCACTCAGACTGAGTTTGAACAAGATGAAGATGGGGAAAGAGAACAAAAATTCAACTATTTAATTTCATGTATTTGTTTAGCAGGAGAAGGGTGGAAAATACAACAAAGTTAAATATCTTATACAACCCACACCAGAATGGCAACTTTACTTCTAGTTTCTTACAAAAAAATACAGTCACTTTTTTCTCTCATTAAAGTAGCCAACTATTGTAACTTTCTCACAAAAAAATAAACCAAATGCAAACGAGAAAATAAATTTTCCTTTCACCTTTTCTTTCACTTCACTATCTATCACTTTTGTTTTCCATCATATTTTTTACTCTAATCAAATGGACCCTCAAGATTCTCATTGAAAAGTTGAAGTGCAAAGCAAGAAGCCAAAGAAAGAGAAGCAGAGAAAAGCTGAACTTCTTAACTACATCTCGTAAAAAAATAAATAAAAAGTGAAAAAAAAAAAGAAGAAGAAGAAGAAGAGAGAATCAAAAACTACACTCAAGTCAATCAAAGAAACGTCTCCAGGAAATATCGAATTAGTAGTGGCTTCATCTCCAAAAACCGGCTTTGTATGAATTTTACTTGTCAAAACAAGTCTAAGCTGAGATTGAGCATAGCTCCTATGCTACTGAACCAAGCTCAAGCTCCTTGTACTTGGCTGGCTTCATCTCATTTACAGTCTAGATGAATTAAGAACCTTCACCTTCATCTAGCACATGTTAGCATAATAAACTAACTCAGCTTGCTTAATATTCAATGATCCAAACTCATCAAGGCAAGTGGTGGGTTGCTCTTAAATTATCCTCCAACAATGCTCACTGCAAAAAAGTAACATCAATCTTTTCCTACTTAAATGGTACAAAGAAAATTCCACATAAAGACTTAAATATAAAAATAAAACCATCAAAGCAATCATGGCTTACTAAGCCAAACCAAGCCAAACCAAGCCTTAGCAAGCTCATCAAATAAATTGAATTCTACACCATTTATAAGTGAGCTTGACTTGTGAACTGAAGCTTGTACCCTATACAGCTTTCTGTAAAGAATGCACCTCAGACAGTAAAAAACAATAAACATCAGGATAAGAAGAAATTATACCATTCAAAACCAATCAACCCCCTCTGAATTCAAATGACAGGACTTTTTTTTTTTTTCAGCAAAAACAGAATTTATTGAATAGATCAAAAAAGAGGCAAGGATGAGGCATCCTCTACAAGTAAGAAAACACAAAAAGAAAATGCATCTCCACAAAACAAAAAATAAAATCCAGAAACAACTCCTAATCCAATAACCATTTGCATATTCATGCCACCGTCATCCATCTAAGAATAATCATGGGGAGAATTTGGCTAACCATGGGCCATGCAACTTTTCAACCCCCAGTTAGCAGATAAGTGGGATCTCAAGGATGAAAAGTTCAAAGGATAAATTATTTATCAAAAAAAAGTTCAAAGGACAAATCAAAAGATGTGCAGCTTATTCATTATCTCATCCTCTTGGAAAGAAGATTAAAAAAAGAAGAAGACTATCAAGACATAGCACAAGGATGGTAACCGAGACTGGTACAACATCCAAAAAAATGAACATTCTGTCGACAAAAGAATTTGAAGAGGGTTGCACATGCTACTTTTATAAGTATGGTGGGAACCGTATGTTAAAAATGAAATTGCAGTTGTCATTTCCTTTTTCCGTTGTTATAAAATCCTGTTTTCTCATAAAGTTTGTACAAGAGACTATCAAGTTTGAAAGAATTTTGGTCATCATTGAAAAGAATATACAAAATAAAAATAAAGATGATAATCCAAATTCTTAATTAAAAATCGACACAAAAATAAGAAGAAAAACATCTCCACAAAGGTAAATAGCCTAAAATTGCAATGTTTTCTAATGCAATATCATGCACAAGGATCAAAATTTTGTTGTAGCACGACATTTAAAAAGACTCCGAAAAAGGAATATCTAGTAAACATGCCACAAATGCAATGGAAATAGCAAAAAAAACTTTGAAAGACAGGTGAACACTTGAAGCACAGAAGAAGATTTATTAATGCATATTAAAATAATTTCCAACAGCGCTATTACAGCAAAAGCACACTTAGAACAGTTTCAAAGCTGATATTCTTCTGTACTATAAAATAATCATAGACAAAACATAACATTTTCATACGAACTCAACATTTTAACACAAGTAAAACAATTCAAAATAAAGGTCATAACAATTAGAAACTAATATTCCAAAAGATCTTCCAGTTATTCTGATATTGGTTCACCTCTTCTCCTTATCTACTTATTCTCAAAGAAATTCGAGAATTTTTTATGCATGTGCTTTTGGGTTCTAGAAACTCAACAATAAGGCTAAAAGAATAATAACCTTTTGTTCTTTTTAGACTATATTGTTGTCGACAATAAATTCAAAATAATAATAATAATAACCATCCCAAACATTTTACGAGCAGTTTTCAGTTGTTTATGAAAAGTTTATTTTTATGAATATCAGCATTTTGGTTTTGCAACCAAGCTTTATTGTACTACCAAGCAAAGACATTCAGCTAATTCCATGCAAAGAGAATTTTCATTTCTGTGCAGATAAAATAGATTCAAAGAAACTTTGATGTCAAATGCGTTGTCTAATTCCCCTGCTAAAATGAATATAGAGACCATCACTCTGGTCCACTATTGCCATATATGACCAAGCTTTGAAACCATACTGTTTAAAGTCTCATTTTCAAAAAAGATACCTACAAAATTAGGGCCACCATTATACAGAAGCTCCAACAACTCAAGGAACTAGACTATCTAAACCAGTAAAGATCATGTTATTGCCCATAAACTACGCATGATACGAACATGCCGACATAGGAAAATTTCAAAATATCAAGACATAACACATTAGTAATCCAAAAAAGGGCTCAATATTAAATGTTTCAACTCCAAAATAAAAACTACACCTCCATTAAAGATTCTCCTGTTGTGCTCCTAGATGCATCACCAAAAACAAATCACTGAAGACTCCGGCCCATTTCTTTCTTCTTCCCTTTTTTTTTTGACAAGTAATATATTAGACAGGTGCCAAAAAAAGGAGCACAGTCACCACTTTACACCGCCTATGTTTGATTTCAGTTTGGATTAGGCAGATAAGATACCCCCGAATGTGTAAGCCAGGCAAAGGCATTTTAGTCATTCACATGCAAAATAGTTATCCCCGGTTTAACTGTCCCACCCCTAGGACAAAATAATCCCTCATATGTAGGTAAAGTGGTCACGTGGGATTAGCTATTCTGAGCAACTTTTGCAGTACCAAATGTGGGATTATTTACGAAACAACACAAGGATGAGGGAGGAGTCACAAGTCACTACATCTTAGTTGCCAACCTCATATGCAAATGGAAATACTGCATGAGTTACATCAGACAGATCAGTAACAAAGGCACATATGCTTCCACAGTCCACTATTAACAGTTGGCCTCTAAAAACTCCCACTAATAAAAGCCAACATAACTTGATCATTCATTTAAGAATGGAAGTCAATGGCTTTCATAGATGAAATAAATAGATTTGGTTATCAAAAAGAGGACAAAGCATGTTCTTCTTCTCATGCAATATATATATATATATATCTCGAGCTTTTTTTCTCTTGCTAAAAAAATAAAAGAACAGAATTCGATGTACATCATGTACTAAACAAGCTCTTAAATACTTAACACTGATAAAGTGCTAATGCTTCACACTTAAAATGTTGTTTGGCACTTGAATAAGGTCTAGAGGAGATTAGCCCTCAAAATGGAAAAGAATTTGCTTGGGATTGATAACATAACATGACAGAGATTATGAATTGTTCATTTTATTCAATTAAACCAGTACGAATTTGCTTTATGCCAATCAATTCTGCAATTAATATAATAATCAATTAGAAACACAAAAGGATTCCTTTTTTCTTTTCTTTTTTTCTTCTTCTTCCAATCGAAAATCAAAACGGACAAAAACCATAGGACCCCATAGCCAACCAATTCACCATTAGTAAGGGAAAAAAAAAAAAATAGAAACAACCCAACCCTAACCCATTTCATGTGCCTTAGGTGTTGAATCCTAAAACTTGTTAGCGTGTTTCTTATACCAGTAGAAATCGGTGATGTTTGTTCCTGAATGGTTGGTAGAGTATCAAGCATCCATGATACTTTGTGAATTCACCACAAATTAAACGCGATCCACCATTTACTAGAAAATCACCAAAACAAACTTGAAATGTATTGAAGTGATGTAAAACGCATATTAATCAATTGATAGTGCAAGCGAATATGGATGCTTCTCTTATTTGACAAATTTATTTTGGTTACAACTAGTTTAATTCTCCTCCCGTACGAAATTGCTGGTCCATTTTAACTATTCCAAACATCCCAAAAAAATCATCTATGTTTTTTTATTTATTCTTTCTTTCAATTGGTAGGGAAAAAAAACATTTTTTATTGACCCTACTAAAAGGTATGAATGCTGAAAATTGACAAACAGTTGGGGATGGAACGAGTATTTATAAATGAGATGACTTGAAGACCATTCCCATCCAAAATCCAAGTTAAAACCACCTTAGACTTTGCAAAATCGTTGGCCACTGCTCGAGCCATGAAAATCCCTAGAGATTGGGTGCCTGCTTCCACTTGAGATCTCAGTTTTTTAATAGATTGGGTGTCTGCTTCCACTTGAGATCTCAGTTTTTTAATAGATGGAAACAAAGTTGATTGAAAACTCACAATTTTCATACAATGGAAGATTTTTTCTTTCAAGCTTGTCCCTTAGCTATCCTTCAAGTCAAAAGTTTTCCTATAAAAATTTGGATATGTTGTAGCTAAGATTTTTCTTTATACTTTTGTTTGGATTTGACTTGCTTTCATATGTATTTTTTCTTCTATGATTTTGCTAAGCAGTCAAGTCACAAAAGGAGGGTTCTTTCCATTCTAGTTGCTCCCAATATGTACTATTATTTCTTCTAGGATTTTGCTAAGCAGACACAAAGGAGGAATAAAATGATTGATATTTGCTCCCAATAGGTATTATTTCTTCAATTGTGATTTTGAAGGTTGGAGCTAGTCCTCCTAGGCATTTGTACATCAACTTCTCAGCACACCAAAATCCCATCCAATCAATTTCCATTTTATTCAAATTCTTGTTAGCACTCCAACACATAGGAGAATATAATGATTGATGTTGGCCCTCTAGTACTACTAAATCAATGACAGCCTAAGTTTTCTAATCCAAGATTAAATAGTCTAAAAATTCAACATCACCAGCCTTAAGACAACCAACTTTATTTTGTTCATGTTGTATCTCAAGGGGGAATAATGAAGGAGAATTTTCCTCTTCCTGCTAGATAAAATCCAGAACGAGACACAAGGAGAAATCCCGGGCAAAAATTACATAAGAGGGAAAAAGGCCAAACTATACATCAACCCATAAGCTAAATTCTTCCGACAAATCAATCAAGAAACAAAAGAAAGAGATTGCTAATAGTATTTATCAAGAGAGAGAGAGAGAGAGAGAGAGAAAGAGATTCCTAATAGTATTGTGCAAGTGAATGCGACTTTAAAAGCAGGTTAGTTTCTCAAATAGTTTGAAAAGTGGGTCAATTATCTAAATTATTATTATTTTTTTAGAATATTTTTTTAAAAAAAAACTCTAAAAACTTTACCAACCAATTTTTTTTTTAAATTTATTTTCATTAATGGTAAATTTTGAGTATTATCTCACATGTTCCCAATATATTTATTGATAAGGATGGGGTCCTATTAAACTACTGCCATCAACATCAAATTGCAAAATTAACACCAACTTATATTTACATATGTATCTACCGAAATTTTCCATTATTAGGGTGAGCAAGTTTGATTATCGTGCCATGTCAAGTTTTGATACATTTTTTTTTGAAACATGATTTAATTTTTATTTTTAAATAGATCCAGCTGTATAAATAAATAATGTAACAAAAGGACATAATGTTGAGATTAGGATTTATGGAAACTAGTGCTAAGTACATAAGGTTGAGATTAGGGTTTCAAGGAAATGGATTCCCCAAAATCAAATTATGAAAGGTTGGTCCCCCTAATGCAATCCTTGAAGTCTGCAACTTTTCCTCAAGTCACAAAAGAGAGATAATCATAGTAAACCAAAAGCATTTTAGATTCTCAAAAGTCTATACCCCAAGCCCATTAAACTAAAATAATCAACCCAAACAAACTTTTTAATCCCAACTAAAAAAAATCTCAACTCCAAAAAGCCAATTAAAATTTTTTTTGCCAAACCACAACATAATATAGATATAATATTTATTGGTGGGCCAGTTTTCTAATTGAATCTTTGTGTAATGGGTGCAAGCCACGCACCCATTAAACTGAAAGACTAAAATCTTCATTATCTGCTTGGTTTGTATGATATTTGGTAGCTTACCTAACATAGTGTGATTTGATTGTTTCCATCATGTAAACAAAAATTGGATGTAAAACACAGAAAATTTTCTATTGTTGATAGATTACCCTTTGGGGCTTTGTCATTGAAAAGATGAATATTCTCAACTCTAAAAAGCCATTTAAAATTTTTTTTGCCAAACCACAACATAATATAGATATAATATTTATTGGTGGGCCAGTTTTCTAATTGAATCTTTGTGTAATGGGTGCAAGCCACGCATTACACAAAGAAAATTTTCTATAATATCTGCTTGGTTTGTATGATATTTGGTAGCTTACCTAACTTAGTGTGATTTGATTGTTTCCATCATGTAAACAAAAATTGGATGTAAAACACAGAAAATTTTCTATTGTTGATAGATTACCCTTTGGGGCTTTGTCATTGAAAAGATGAATATTATCAGAATTTGATATGGAAAAACAAAACCATGGTGTATTAATTTGTTAATCTACTCTCAGAAAGACACAGCAGCGTGGGGATCAAAGGGCTGAACCTGTCAAACTTTGAGCAGTCAATGGCACCAACAACAAGTGTAATTCAAGATTTCCGGTATATATATGAACTATCGTTTTTATTCCGTTTTTATTATGTCCATGTTATCTTAGGTTAACAACAATGTGATTTGGGATTGCAGGATTCAAAATAAAGGTGAAAAAGATACTTGCAAACTGCAATCAATTTCAGACACAAAGAAAGAAAGAAAAAAAAAAAATCAATGAAAAGGAAACCACAGTGCAATCAATTTCAGAGTTGAGAATTTAAGAGATTACCAAAATGTTCAACGAGAATTTCACACAAATTCTACAGATACAAGTTGAGAATTCAAACAACTAAATTTGGCACAATTAATATGTATATATGTAAATATATAGCACATATTATGTATGTAAAATTACTAACCTTGTCAATTGTGGCGAAAATGGACATGTTCTTGAAATCCCCCGCGACCTCCCAATCCCCAGCCGCCGAATCAGCGCAGACGACATCCGGGTCGGGTGGATGCCGCCACAGCAGGAAGAAGCGATTTCCTCCCAATCGTCTCTCTCTCCCCTCCCCCATTCCCCCCTCTCTCTCTCCGCTCTCTGTTTCTCTCTCTAGGGTTTCCCTGCCCTCCCATGGCTTCTCACCTCTCTTTCTTCGAAGCCGTTTTGACGGGGGAGGATGCTGGATCTATCGTTGGGGAGAAGAGGCTGGCGGAGAACGGAGAGGACGTTGAATTGGGGGTTCTAGAGAGAGAGAGAGAGACAGAGAAACCCTAACCAAAACTTTTCAGTTCGAGATAGTGGGTTCGAGATAGTGGGTTCGCAATGAGGAGAGAGGAGGATAAAAAGATCTCCGTTGCAATTTTGTGAGATAAATGTACCGTTGGGTGGGGGCGGTGGTGAATAAAGCAATATTCTAATAAAAATCCTAATAACCAAATTCTTTTGAAATTGTAATTCTAATAAAAAAAATTCAAAATTCTTTTCTAAATGTGTAATCAAACACGTAACTCAAAATTTAAATTAAATTTTTTTTCAAAATTCATAATCAAACTCTTTTTAAAATTTTATTTAAAGAAAAATTTTAAAAAATATTTTTTTATTTTATGTTTTAAAATAATGATTTTATTTTTTAAAATATTTAATTTTTTTAATTTCAAAAAAATTTGGATGGCCATATATATCTAAACCATAACAAATTATTTGGCCAATACTTAAAAAAATAACAAAAAATATTTTTCAATAAAATAAAAAAATAAAAAATAAAAACAAAATGAAGATGAATGAAGATGAAGACAAAAGACTTGGAGGCAAAATGATTTCTCTTCTTTTTTATCTATTTATGATGGATTGTCCTCTGCCATTATATAAAGTTTTGAATTTAAAAAATTTACAAAAATGAAATAAAATATTTAAAATGAAAAATAAATTTTTCTTAAACATTTTTAAATATTTAAAAGAAATTAATTCAAAAAATTTCAAAATACAACTCAAAATTCAAAAACTTAAAACTCAAAATACAACTTAAAACTCTTTTCAAAACTCAAAATTCTTTTCAAAATTCATTATTCAAAAAGTCAAAAATATTTTCAAAACTCATAACCAAATAAATTTTTATTTTTTTAAAACTGAACTCACAACTCTACACTTAAAATCACAATTTCACACTTAAATCATAATTATAAAATTAAACTTAACGAATTTTACCCTTAACTCTTATACTCACTAATATGCCTTGCACATACTCTCTCTCTCTCTCTCTCATACAAAGATGAAATTAGGATTTTATTACTACAGGGGTTAAAAGATAAATAATATTTTTTTACCGCATAGACAAATACACATATATGTACAATATGATATATAAATTATATATATACACATAAAAAAATTTAAATATCATATAAACAATCTCTAATATAATGAATAATTTTTTTTCTAGAAAAAAAACAGAGAATAAAAGATGAGAAAAAGAATGAAGCATATATCTTTTATACTAAGATGCTATTTTATTTATAAAATAATACATACATATATATATATATTTAGAAGTACTACGGAAAATAAAATTTTCACAGAGACAGAAGGGTCATGACCCCTCATAATCTTCTCCTAGTTCTATCCCAGCACATATACACTCACCTCATTCTTTTAATAAAAAAAAACAAAAAAAAAATTATCTTTATATTTTTTATTTTATTTTATTTTATTAAAATATATTTAATATTTAATATACAAATTCTATTTTTATAAAATTGATATTGTTCTAAAAATATATTTAAAATTTTAAAATGCAACTAATATTTCACATATTTAATAAAAGTTTAAATTAATAATCTAAAATATATAAAATTTTATAGAATTAAAATAATTTGTATGACTTAAGTTAATATAAATAATAAATTACTTTACTTTTCTAATTATATATATATATATATATTGGTAGGAGAAAACGTTTAGAATAATACAATTGTAAAAAAAAATATATTAATTCAAACCACGCAAATAATAACTCAAACCAAAATAATAATATAATAAAAAAAATAGTGGTCATGTTTGATCCCACACACAAAGTAAGACTTGCACCTACACAAACTAAACTTACACTTCACATAGACTAGACTTGTACCCTACACATATTAGACTTGCACCCCACACCCTACATAGATTAAACTCATGTCCTACATAGATTAGACTTGCATCCCTACAAAGATTCAACTTGCACCCCTCACAAATTAAACTTGCACTTCACACTAACTAAACTTTCACCTCCACACAGATTCAACATACACGCCAACACAGACTAGACTTGCACTACTACACAGATTTGACTTGCACACCCTACGCATACTGAATATGCATCTCTACATAGACTAAAGTCTCGTTTGGCAAGGGTGATTTTAGTCAAAAAGTCACTAAAAAAATCAAAAAACCAACAACTTATACCAAAAAGTCAAAGATTCCATTTTCCTCTCTACTTATTGCACATATTTTCATAAAAAAACCAAAAACTCATCCCAAAAATTCTAGTTTTTTTTATGTCATATTTTAGCCAAAAAGTAAAAAAATTACTAAAAAAACCTGTTCCCAAACGAGGCTTAAACATGCGCCCCACACAGATTAGATTTGCACCCTTACACAAATTCAACTTGCACCCTTCATAGATTTAATTGTACCCTACACAGACTAAGCTTGTACTCCCATATAGATTTGACTTGCACGCCAACACAGACTAGACTTACACAACTATAAAGATTTGACTTGCACACCACATAGACTAAACTTGCACCCTCAAATAGATTCGACTTGCATGCTAACACAGACTAGACTTGCACCACTACATAGGTTTAACTTGGACACCACACATACTAAACTTGCACTTACACATAATGAACATGTACCCCCACGCATAATGGACTTGTACCCTACAAAGTACTTTAAAAAATATATATACATCTGAGTTATTTATAAATGAAAAAGATATTACAAAAATATTTCTAATATTTTATATTATTTTTTAAAATTAATTTTTAAATAAAAAATATTATTTTATCTGCGAAGAAAAAACGTAAAGACTAATAAAAATATTAACTCAAATTATACAATTAATATAAAAAATATTATTCAAACATACAAATATTATTTTCGTTAAAAACAAAAATAGAATCATATGAAAATGAAAACGATATCTTTTATCAAGCTACTTTTAATTTTTTTTAAAAAAAATAAAAGGCAAAATTTAAAAATTCAACCAAACAATTTACGTTTCAAACATAAAACTAGTTTAAAAAAAATTAATCACACAACATATTTCAATTTTATAAATAGTTATAAAAATAGTAAAAATTAGTCACAAGAAAAAAAAAATCACATAATATTGCAGACACCCCATTTTGACCGGCCCTAAGACTTGGGCGCTTTCTTTTGATTATCCGATGATGACAATCAGAATGTGTTTCTCACAAAATTATTAGTAAGAGAGCTTGGAATTTGAGCTTTATTCCTAACCCTAAGCCGATATCGGCAAAGTGTTTAAGCCCTGTGGGACACCCGGAGTGAAATGGGACCAAATTAGAGCGAAACAAGACCGAATCAGAGCAAAAATGGACAAAATCCACCCTAGCCGATCAACCAGTAGCACCATCGCAAGCACGACCAATGTGATCGCGGGTGCAACTTGCCTTACTACAGTCGCGACCTATTCAAATTGGGCGAGTTTTTTTTACTGTGTAGGGCACTTTGTGATGTTATTTCTTACCTATTTTTGCACCAAATGCATGCTTACTCATCCTCCATTGACTAGTGCTTGAGCCAACGAGGATAATGCTCCATTTTAGTGTCCCATTAGCTCCATTATCTTTTCTAAATGATCCACTTTTTCTTCCACCATTGCTCTACTAGCATTGCCTATACAATGAGATCTATATTCTTGAGTTTGAGGAGATGAATTAGAAGAGAAGTGTAGAGAGAATACAAAATTTGAGTTAGAATTTGAGAGAAAAAAAAATCCTTGAAAGCAAGAGAGTTGTCTATCCAAATTAGTGGAGTTATAAAGCCTCAATACATCTCATATTTCCTTGGAAACACCACTCAAGAGCCAAGTCCTAAAGCTTTGACCAAAGCGAGAGTAGTCTTGCTAAGTTGAAGAAAATTAAACAGTGATCATACACTTGTCCAAAACATTATTCTAAGCTCAAATTCCAAGCTCTTGAATTGAGGATTGAGATCAAAATTCACAACATTGAGGGTGATCAAGATGAAGTTTGGAAATCAAGAAGTTCAATCTTTCTCTAGAAGGTGAATTTCAAGTCTTTCATTTTTTTTATATTTTCTGTTTCATAATTATTTTCTTACTTTCGATTTCATAGTATTTTGTTGTAATCTAATTGGAAGTGGTTAGTTTAGTTCATATTTATTTTCTTACTTCATATTTTAAAGCGTTTTGTTGTGCAATCCAAGTGTGTTTTTTTTTTTTTTGGGTAAGTAAGTCATAAAATAAAGACAGTAAAATGTACAAGTTTACAAGGGGCATACCCCAGGTACGCCTTACAACAAATAAAGACGAACAAAAAAAAAACACCACAAATTACCACTGGACATCCTACAACATATAACCACACTCGCAAAAGCGAAAGAACAGCAGAAAAAATAGAACCCCACTTTACCCATATATCGTTTTTGTTCCCAAGTAACCCCTACCATCAGAGATAATAGATGGGAACTTGGGATGGATATATGGGCAAGTAAACAAAAAACACACCGCAGACTCAAGAACATAACAGACAACCACGCAATACAAATGTAACAAACTAAACACCCAACAAGACCAATCGAGAATGATAACTGTCCCCGCTTGCTCCCAGTCTCTACCTCGGATGAAAGCATGGAATCCAATAAGCATCTCGCTTCTCAGAGCCGTGACATCCTAGCCACTCAACCAAAGCTATGACGAAGGAAAATATCTATCCCATGAAAGATCCTGGCTGAGTCACATGAAGCTGCACATCAACCAAATAATGAAGAAGCCAAATATAGTAGACAGCAGAATTGAAGGACTGAAAAACAATAGCCCCGCTGCAACAAACCAATACATAGCCAATAAAACATGAGAGCAATCATCACATCCCCCAGTCCCTTCCTTGGTAGATCACAAGCCTCAAACCCCACGGCAGTGTCCCCTTCACTCCATGTCAGGCGTGGCAATACAATCAATTAGGATGGGTCACATGAAGACAAGAAGCGACCAGAAAACCGGTAGCTATCCTCCCGCTCATCTCCCAGTCTCTTACTCGGCTAGTTATCGAACCACTATT